CGACTGAAAACTACATATTAGGCGGTGCCGAAGTGGCAAGGGTAGTAAGCGGTAAAAACGCAACAGCAAGTAATCTGGTAGGACCAGTAAGCATAGTCGAATGTTTTCATTTGCGTCCGTTGCTTTGCGCAGACAACGCTCGATTGTGATCCTAAACGTACATTTGACCGGTTGACGGAGCTAGATCTGTTCATACTTGCGGTACTGTTTCCCGCCTCTCGAATACTGTCTGAAGCAACAGGCTGGCTGCATTGGTAGCATCCACAGCACACCCCGGTGATCCGTTGCAGGATGAGAAAGTCGAAACCGTCACGTCAACGAACATGCCCGACTTCTTTGGCTCAATCAGAGGCCAAGATCATTCGCACACTAAAATTGTAGGGTGCAGTGGCGCGCGACTCGGCACGGCTATGCAGGTCCGAAGCCATTGTAGTTCAATCGCGCCGGAGAAAGTAAATCTTTTTGCAGTAGTTTTCTCACTCATCCTTGGATTCAAGCCAGTCCATCGATCGGTGGTTATGGGCGTAACTGCTCCGCGTAGTAGACTCGTAATGTCCGTACGTGCTAGGGACAGACTGCGAAACGAACACACGGTCCCATGACGAAATATCTTTTATCTTGAGATCGGCTCTGCTCACTTCTCAAGCCGACGGTCGAATCTCACACGAAGTTCGTTGTTCTAGCAACACCGGTGCGGCACTGACAGCCTATCGAACACCGTCAGCGCTCTGTGACACTCACCGATGTCTTTCACTTCATCGACCTCCGACAGCTCGAGGCGTGAGACTGCGAGTCGAGCTTATTCGTCGACCGTGGTCCCCCACGCAGCCGGGCTGCTCGACATTGATCGGAGCCACTCGTATTTCCCACGGACTGCCTCCCTGGTATCCTCAGCGTCGAGGACTTTGTCGCCAACAGCTGGATCACATGGAGCAGCAAAAACAAATGCTTCAGCCCCTCTAGGCACTTCAGCACATCAAAGAGATCAAATGAGCAAGAACGGGGGCCGCTGGACCGAGCAAGAGCACCAGAATTTCCTCGTTGGCTTACGTCTTTACGGTCGCGAATGGAAAAAAGTGGCTGCTAAAATCAAGACCCGCACGTCTGCTCAGATTCGAAGCCATGCACAAAAATACTTTGCGAAGATCGCTCGGGACAACCAGTTGTATATGCCAAACGAACTGTCCACAGCTATGGCCGGTCCACTCGGGTACTTTAGTGACGGCGGCTCCTCTATCGCACAGAATAGTGGCGATGACGATGCCAATACATCAGACGCAGCTCGACAATCGGCTCGCACATGCTCATCTAACGGCGAAGTAGACAAATCTGCTGCTTTGTTTGTCGACCGACCGAGGTGTGATGCCACTGCTTTGTACCAAGAGCCAGTGAGGACTGCTCAAAAGCGATCACGCGCAACTGAGACAAGCTTCGACGGTCGGACAGGAATGAAGTCGCACGCTGTGACCTATCCACACAAGGTGTACAAGCACGAAAGCGGTATGACTCAAGTAGAAGGTCTTCCATCGCAGGAAGAGCTGCTTGCGAAGGTGCCACCGAAGTTACGTCATCGATTGTCCAGCCTTATCGAAGCAGAGCTGTGTGCTCTCCAGGTTCTTTCGTGCTATGGCATGCAACAGCAGAATCGAATGTCGACATCACGCCAAGAACTCACGCGACAGAGAGGGCGCTATCGACCAGCTGCAGCAACTGCTGCTACTACTGGAAGCTCTGCGCAACCGTCGCTCGGGATCCCAATGCTGTCCACAGAGCACGTCCGATCGACTTCCTCTATTTATTAAAGTAGTGGTGTTAAGCCGGAAGACACGCAACTTTACTCGTTGCGCTTTCTGTACCAATAAATATGGCTCTTACCGTGGGGATGCCCCAAATTGAGGTTTCTTAGAATAAGCCTGAAAGAGCGACTGTATGGGTTTTCAAGCTATTGCCTGCTTGGACTTGGCTGAATCTCCTTGACGCTGTCAAGGAGCAGTTGCTGCATCTCGTTGGCGGCTGCGGCAAGATTGTAAGTACTGATATGACCTCGGAGCAGATTGTCCTACATTTCGTCAGTCGCGTGGTGACCTCCACACTGCGCCCTTCCAACATACAAGGCGCTTGATTCTTAGGCTCAGTACCCTAGCACTTGCGATAGCTAGTGGCCGATCGACTTTGCCAACAGATTGAAGGTTTTGTTGCGTGCGTGGTACATTCCTCGTCACACACGGACAGCGAAACTGACTAGAGATCCTTGTATCACGGGGCCACAAAACGTGGCAGACTGGCGAAACCGATACTAGGAACCGTGCTCTCTGTGATGAAAGTCAGAACGGCGTGTACGGCCTCGAGATGCACAAACATGCTAAAACGAAAAAGCACATTGATGTCTACAGCCCATCGATCTCGATCGTAAAAATGATCCCAAATCGAATTTTCACACAACTACGTCATTGATGCCTGAGCAAAATGACGTCGTCCAGGCGTTGTGTCATTGTCGAAGAATAGAGCATAAAGTCGCGATGACATCCAACCTGACATCGAATGTACTGATGAATCGTCGATCAGCAAGTCGATGTGATGTAAGTGGACCAAACGAATGTCTGACGTACAACCTTTCGCTTCAAGTCTCCATGCAATAGAAAGAAAATGCCAAAGGCCATCTTGGTACAGCACAAATTCGACAGTACACGATTTAGAAAAACTTCGATCCAGCGCAACGCCAGCGCAAAAAGACTCGGACGGTCTGAGCCTTTGTTCGGGCCAGCATGCAGTCCAGCAGTAGCTGCGCCTTCTTCGAATCACTTTGAGACATCACCACTGTCCATGGTGCTGATGCGTCCACATGCGGCCCGTAAAGAAGGTAGCGCTCACATGCCGTACCCATCCATAGCCTTGAGAAGACGATTATAGACCTGCCGGACGACTCCCCCAGCATCACGCCTTTTGCTGCAATGCGTGGACGTTGCAAAAGAGCTGTTCACGCAACATCTGGCATGCGCTTCACAAGTTGGCGCAATCGTTTCGGTTACCATTCAACTGCTGTCATATAGGTTACCTGTGAAGGGCGGTAAAACTGGAGAATTGATGATACGTGCTCGTTGTAGTACGGTATCATCATCGCCTCCCACTGCAACAACTTCCGAATATCATCTTGGTTGGCTTATGTAATCGTCACTTGTTCTACCAAAATCTTCGTGTCTGGACAATTCTAGCATCAGACATTCACTCGTTGCCTATTTCATGGCAGTATCTTCACGGCGCTTGCTGCTATTGACCATCACGCACTACTCTGTTACCATTATAACACCAGATAATTATCGGATACGATCGCCTTCTTTGAAGTCACGTGAAGTGGGTTTAGCAGCGTCTACCATTTAATCGTGGGCGGCCAAGCATGAGGCTTTCCAGGATCGGGCCCCTCGCACGTGCGCATGTTGGTAAGCAGAAAGCTTTTATTTGCGTTCAGTGACGTAAAACGGGCTGTAATGGAAAGGCAAGAACCTTTTCCTACTACATTTGGAATGTCCTTTACAACATTGCGCTGAAGGCTGCACATATGAACTATTCTTATCGAATATCGGCAACGTCGAGTCCTCTTGTTTGAGACCAAATACATTACATCTAGATCTCCCACTTCTTCTAGTTGTACTCTGTTGCAACACTTCTTACAGCTTTTCTCGCGCGACATGTCGACCATTGCTTCAGAGCTTGAACTAGAGAGACGTGATGAGCTGCTGCGTCGTTGCGCTGCTTGCGCGAACTACCCTTCACCCCAACTCGCGCTTGCAAAACGTTGGTGAAAGTCCTGGCAAACATCTGCTCTACACCACATGCTCTCGGAACGACGATACAGTTTCTCATGACGTTTACGGGCAATTAGACGTAGCACGAGGCAGAGAGCAGGGAGCAAGTAGGTCCTAGATGTCGAGTTTATCGAATACCTATCGTTTGCGAAAAGTTCAGTACGTACAGGTATTGGATTACGTCCTTTCTCTTTTCTGGACAAGTCGGCGGTAAAATGGACCAGCAAAGAACAGTTGACGTCGTCGGGTTCTGCTGAACCTTATCACGATCGCGCACCAAGCGCTACTTAGACCAGAAACCACTACATGTTTCTGAGTGAGTCAACGATGTCAACGATGAGATTAACGAGTGCATGCACAAAACGTGTTTCGTCCTTCATTCGGTGCACGAAATCTGTAGCTTCTGTCTACGAATCGTACGCACTAAACCACCTCAATCCAATACAATGTGCAAGCCAATCACGCATGGGCTAGCGTCACAGTGCGTGTGTCGTCTTCTCTACCTTCGACGGTCATGGAAGCGCATCGACCGTTCCATCTCGTGCGCCTTTATCGAGGAAGCAACGTCCGCATTCACATTGACTAATCAGGTACGTCATGCGCTGCTGTACACTAACGGTGCTCAAGTTGTTACTAATGCCGCCGACTTTACTTCCGTCCTGCATATCTGCCATGAGCGTCTTCTATTTGGTTCCTTGTTGCCGCTTTGTCTCTTCATGTCAATGCATCTGCGTGGTCGATATGACATACGTAAACCTATCGATTGCACTGAGCAAAGCATAGAAGGTGCTAGGGCTGGTGATCCTGTCCTCGCAGATTGGAGTCTACCGAGGTGGACCACGCCGCGAACGACGTGGGAATGTGAGTTTTTGGAAGTTCGAGTAAGTGCGAAGTCAATGGCCCAGGGAGGGAAAGCTAAGAAGAGGGTATCGAGTGTTTGGTTTCAGGCTGTTTCACATAATTAGTTATCCTCTATTGTAGAACGACGTGGACCACAACGCATCTCCTGCCGTATAGTCAGTTGCATTAGCAACGTTTCTCACTTGGTCACGGTATGATCCATCCGTCTTGACGGTCACTCGTTCAACTTCTCAGACAAACACACACAGACAGACAGACAGACAGACTCAAGTGTCCGCTATCGCGAGACGTTGACGCCCACACAGCTCGACGCCCACACGGCCACCACCTTCTTCCATGGGCCAACAAGTATCTCGTACCGGCATACCGAGCCACGCGGACTGCTACGGAGCGCCCATCTACGCGACCAGTCTCAGCCACGATCGGCAGACGGAGGTCCGTGTGAGCGGTGACTCGGACACCGTTCAGATAGGCCCGCGGGCGCAGCTGCCGTATCTCGACTTGGCCAGTACGCGCCGACAGGACTTGTTCCGGCAATTAGGTCTCGTGGTGAAGACCCGTGGGAACCGAATTACGCAGAACGCCGAAGTCGTGATCACGGATTTCTACCGACTGGACGGCAAGCGCTTTGTGTCGCGAGACCACGACCAGGGGCCCAAGCTGACGGACTGGCGAGGGCTGAAAGGGCCGGCTGAAGCCAGTTGTGGCCTGCGCGTGGGGGACACGCTCTACGCTATCAACCACCGACTGGTTATGAATAAATCCAAGAGGCAGGTACTGCGGCAGATCAATTCGCTGCTTGAAAAGGGTGACGGCGGTACTGTGGTCCTCACGTGGAAGCACACGGATGAAATTGAGGCCGTGTGCTGGGAAAATGAGTTGTGCATGCCGCCACCGGAGGGCGTGTACACACAGGCGGAGAACGAATGGGGACCCGCGCGACCAAGCAAAATCTCCTCTGTTTCGATCTAGCAATCAAGCCAGTTCTCCTCTGTATTCGAGCGTGCTGGGGTCGAACTTGATATAAAGGCACCGACAACAGACCTGGAATAGTCTCTTTTTCATGCGATGGCAGTATTCTACAGCTTTGCAGTCTACAAGGGATGCAGTGCGTGCGTGCTGCTGGCGATTCTCTTTGCAGCTTTTGTGCGAAGGACAAATCGATTGCAATGGCGGGGCGACTACATTTGATCGATTCAGGCGACCACTTTCGGTCAATGGATACCACGACTCGACGTGCGACGCCACGACAAAGGAGAAGAACTGGGTTGATACGACGTGTGGCAAGCAGTGGGCGACGATTCGGTCGTTGAATTGTCGAGTTTTGCATTCTGCGGAAGTTACGTGAGGTACTTGTCAACCGATAGCTTCCATGTCGCCGTTACTTGCTGCTCCCTTCACTGGAAGAGGGAGACTCGTTGCATGTGCGAGTGTGTAAAATAATAGAAAAGCATATCCACGGTACGAATGCCGTTTCAGGAATCGTCACGTTGGACAGCAGGCACCTCTTTTCGCACCGTCGCGTTGCCAAGTACGAATGTAACTGCTTTCGATGTGACATTTGGTGAAAAGTGCGTGTGATTACAGCTTTGGCGGCAATGTGTCTCTTGAAGTGCAGCATTGGTATACCCCCACGTTCGTCGCAGTATTATTTTATCTTCCCTTCGCATCTAATTCTCCATGGCCAGCAGCTTCTTCAGTCGCTCAAACGTGCCGAAAGTAATGCCTACCATTGGCACCACCTTCATCAGCTCGGGCGCTATTCCGCGGTAAAATCCACCCACGCCTTGCGTGTGGAATAAGTCCAACGCGATGCCCGTAAATGTCGGCCGAATGCCGGCATTCTTCGCATGAATGGCCGAGATCTGCAAGCGGCGGCGCACGACATCGATGGGAAACGTCATTAATGACGAGACAATGCCAGCCGTTCCACCGCATAGCAGCGTGTCTCTCACGCTCAAGTGCGTGTTGTCATGCTTGTCGGCAGCATTTTTCCTGTCAACGCCTGTCAGTCCTGAAACCTTCTGGCTTCGACGAAACGACCGCGCGTAATTCTTGAGCGACTCGTACAGGGTAAAATTAATCGCCAGATTGGGCACGGTGACCAGAAGCGTAGCCCCCATGCCGCGGTAAAGCCCGAGCACACCTTCCTCGGCGCTAATCCGGCGCACGGCGTGGTGAATGCCTGTATAGCGGACATCTGTGTTAAGCTGCGTCGCTAGTCGCGTGCGAATGAGGTCGATTGGGTAGCACGCCACTGTCGCTGTTGCCCCCGCCAGCGCGCCCGAGACGAACATTGTGGTCCACGAGTTCTGAGTAAACGCCGGGTGGTCGTGTGCAATGACGGCGTTCTTGATCATCTCGTACGTGAAGAAGTTCACTGCCGAGTACGGGAACCGGTGCAGCACACTGGCTCCGTTTCCTTTCCAAAAGGCCAGGACGCCCTCGTTCTTCAGCACTTTGGCAAAGGCGCTGCCCATGGACGGCGAGAACCGGTCAGTGTGTCGCGTCGAGACCATACTGTGCACCTGGAAGAGGATCGTGAGGCGGCTGAGCGGCGCCGTGACGGTCTTGCCGACGCTGCCGGCCACGCCGCCTGCAAAGAGCACGCTGCCGTGCCGCAGCAGCTGCTTGAACGCGTCTTGCTGCACGAGGTCCACGTCCACGTCGTCCGTCTCGGTGCACAGGTCGCCCGTGTCGCCAAACGTCACGACTCCGGTCGTATGGCGCTGCAGCGTCACGCGGACGTCGGCGCGGTCCCGCGCATACAAACCCTCGCGACTGGGGCCCTCACCGCCTTCTGCGCGAATCGTTGGGCCGCGCGACATGGGCAGCGCCGAGGGGGTGGGCGAGTGAGAGAGTGAGTAAGTGGGTCGGGGCGATCGATCGATCGGTCGGTCGGTCGGTCGGTCGACGTCGGCAGTCGGTCGTTACTTGGAGAGGGCAAACGACGCCACAAATACAAACGAGTGAGTGTGCCGCGTGCGGTTGTGAGGTGGTGCACCTCAGTTTACCTCAGATGAGTGACGTCTGGTCATGTCGACGCCAGTCTCTCCTCGCCCGCACCAGCGTCGAGATGGACATGCGGTCGAAGGCGTATCCGCCGTTACCAGACGGCAACCGACTGCGCCTCGTCCTGCCACGCATCGGAGATCTGCGGTTCCGGTCGCAGCTTCCGGCGTACTTTGCTCGGTGTCTCTACATCCATGCAGATCCACGACGTCGCTTCTGGTACGCGCGCTTCCAGCTTCGACGCAAGTTCATTGTCATGTCCACAAAGGGGGATCTGTACGTGAAGAACAGCGTCACTACCTTTACAATGTCGGACTTACCCAACGAGAATGTGCTCAGCATGCCCCGCGTGGCGCGCGGGGATCCCGTCAAGGTACTGGACCTCGTGCAGTGCTCGAGAAGCGAGGGACAGCACTGGGAGCTCGTGTTCACGCGCTGGCGAAACGGTATGGAAACGTGGCTCCCGCTCGAGGTTCTGCGGCTACTGGCTCCTCATTTACTCCAGGAATTTTACGTCAACAGCATCAACTCGTGGGCCTTTCATGACCGTTTACAACCGGGGAACTCGTCGGCATATCAAACTGAAGTGGAGCTCTGGCTTTTTCACTCCGAGTTCCAGGAATTTTACAAAAAGCTTCGCCAGACACGAGCGAGTGGAGGTGCTTTGATGCCAAAGTCGCAGCAGCAAGCAGTGCAAACGTCGCATCAGGCGCGTGTCAAAATGGAGCGACTAACTGGGTCTGTACAAACTTCACGTGCGCCGCAGCAAGCACTGCATGTGCCTCATGCAACTGATCCATTGACTCTACCTCGAGCAGCACGCAAGCCGTTGGAGGCATCCATGGCAGAATACGAGAAGCGAAGGCTTGCGAGAGAGCGTCAGGAGAAATTTGACCAGATTCGTCAGAATCAGCATCAACAGCTTCAGCGACAACTGCATTTAGCAGAGCAACTTGAGCTGCAACGGAAACAATCAGCAGAATGTGAACGGCGTCTCGTGATTGAGCGGCTACAGCAGCAGGAGCGAAACCACTCCCGAGGGCTATGCCGAGAGACGAGTCACGAAGAACCGCGGTGCGAACGGCAGCGAGGTGAAGCGACATCTTTGCAGGAACCCTCACCCATTAGGCAGCATCCACAAGAGGCTGCTACGGGAATGGATCTTCGGCACAATATTGGTAAAGCTGGCGCTGCTGTCTACACGCTGCACCAACCAAAAGAAAAGATTGCTGCCTCGACACGGACCACAGGTGGTGACGACGGGTACGTTCCACCGGGCGCAAGCAGGGGAAGTGATGCTAATGCCAATAGCGAGGCAAGTGAATGCAGTATGGTAAATATGCCACGTAAGCGCCGCCGTAAGCGATTGTTGTACTCTCAAGTTGGGGTAGATGACGACGATGTTGATGACTTTCCTGATCTGTCACAGCCACCTTCCAGATTTTGTCCGCAAAATGTAACACCAACTTCCAGCAAAGATGACTGTTCTGATAATCAAGTTGTACAGGAAAATAAAAAGCAGAGAACGTCACTCAGGTCTAGCGGAGCCGAAGGAGAAGGGGCCGCAAATTGCTGCTCACCGGGTAGTACTGCTGTGAGAACAATTAACGGAGACGACAATGCCACAGACAATGTCTGTGACGATGTCGATGACAACGAGGATGTGGACACAGGCCCGCTAATCATTATTGGCAAGATTCAATGCGTTTGTGGCGCTACGTCCGTTGGGCATTATCGGGGACAATGGCTGCAATGCTGGAATATGGAGTGTGGTATTTGGGAGCATGCTGATTGTGTTGGACTTTTGACCGGGTGTGATAAGCAGCTACCGCTGAAGCATCTTTGTGCTCGGTGTGATGCTGAGGCATACCTGACGCGTCGTGCAGACGCATCCCAGCGCATTCTGGATTGGTTATTCCAATGTTGCGACAGCAAAAATGTAAAGAAGCTGATGGACTTGCTAAAAGACAATATTGGAGCTGCAAACATTCCGTCGGGATGGAAAAACGTGCGTTTCGAGAACAGGACTCTGGCTATGCATGCCGCGCATAACGGCCTTACCGAGTGTTTGAGCTATTTGATCAGTGAGCGCAAAGTGGATATATTTGCGACGGATTTACACAGTCGCAACGCACTTCACTTTGCAGCTCAAGGAGGGTCCATTGATTGCTGCCGGCTTCTTTTCCAACATGATCGAAGGCTGCTGCTTCACCCGGACCTGCGCGGGCGCACGCCTTTCCACTGCATGCTCCAATCGTCCAAAGTCAACATATTGTGTGTTTCTCTTATGCAAGAAGATAAGGCGCTGATTGGTATGGGAGACTTCGATTGCAATTTTCCGATTCACTACGCGTGCCAGGCCGTCAACCGCTCTACAGTCAGGATTTGTCAATTGATCTTTGCTGCTCAACCTTCTATGCTCCAAGAAAAATCTGGCAAGGGCCTTTATCCTTTAATGATCTTGTGCAAGTCAGCTAGTACTGGTAGTTCAAATTCGACAAGAAGAGACGCAGGCTGTGCGAGCGAAGTGGTCGAAAGTGCTAAGGACATCGTGTCGTTGATGCTTGACATTGACGTATTTGGGGACTGCTTGAACGAGCAGGCACCGAATGGGTGGTCGTTGCTTCATTTTGCAGCTGCATCGGGAAATCATGAGCTCATTACTTATTTGTGCAACATCGAGCTTCTTGATGTAAATCGCGCCGCGAAAGGGTCTGACCAGACGGCACTCCACATTGCAGCACACGAAAATCGCTCGCTAAGCGTTCGTGCCCTCTTGCTAGAGAGATTCGACGTTATGGCAAAAGATAGTAACGGGTGGATTCCGTTGCTGTACACGGAGGATGTTGCATGTATACAAGAGTTGATGCACTACAAGCTTACAAAACAGCTGTCAAGACTGCATCGCATGCTGGGAAAATATCGGCAGCGAGAGCTTATTCATCGGTGGCAACGGCTTGTAGCACGTGACCCGGTCTGTTTTGACATTCTTAACGACTGGTGTCGAAGTGATAATGGACGGATCGAGCGGATGGAAGGTATTCTGCTGTCAAAGCCGTTCTTACTTCGACTGGATAACAAAATCAAGCACGTTCAAACGAACATCATACCCTCTGTGAAGAAAGTCTCGGGTCCATGCCAAATAGGTTTTGCGAAAGGTATTTCAGGCATCAAAGAGCCGTCGGAAGGACAGAAAAAGCTTGCGTTCGTTTTTTCGCGCAGAGATCGATGTTTCTGGAAGCAGTTTGTCGGCATGGCAGTTATGCTTGAGCCAGAAGATTTTCGTTTGCCGATACTTTTTTCCACTGAAAGCAGCGGTGGAAAGAGTCAAGATCCTGTGAACTGCATCAAGATGTTTCTGATCCGATTGGCGGCGGATTTGCTGGAAAAGGTGCCGGGCATTCTGGTATGCGGATCTAGCAACGCAACGCAGCAAGTTGTTATGTCGTCGGACAAGCATGAGCTGACAGCGCAACTGTTGGACTTTTATTTGCTGGGAGAGCTGACCGCACATTTCGTGCTATTTGGAGTTTCGCTGAGTGGGGCACTAGAGTTTGCTCCAGCTTTTTTGCGCTGCATTGCTTGCAAAGGAAAGTATCGGTTGGCGATTGATGAGCCTTGGGAAACGGCAGGACGTTCATTTGCTGCGGGATTTGATGCTGTATTGCCAGCAACCCTCGATACTTTTCACGCGGATGATCTTCGCGTGTTGTTCAATGGCTCACAGACTAGTTTTAATGCTCTGCAGATCGACTGGACTTCTGCTGTCGACTGGGAGATTCGCAGTTCTGAAGCAATGGGTGACAAGGGTGCCGATAGCACTGCGGCGTGGTTTTCTCGCCTGACGAACGAGCTTGTTGAGGAAGAGCAGCAGCTTCTGTTGCTGTTTATGGCGGGCACGTTCCAGCTTGTGAAGGATCGCTTTTTCGGATCAAGAAGCGAGACTGGCCGCATCACTATCGCGATATGTTTTGAAAATAATGATGTGATTGACCATGATGCAATATTGCCTGCAATGGAACACGACCCGGATGTACTGCGCCTTCCACCATATTCCTGCTACGTAGCATTTAAAAAAGGAATGCTGATTGCGATCCGGCATACTGATCATGCCTTTCTTCCGGAGTAGCATACAGTACCATATTGTCAAACACTCGGCTGACGGAGCAGCGCAATCGAGCCCATTCGCTGATTCAGTGGTAGCACGATTACGGTAATGGTAATGGACTTGCAAGAGCTCGTTGGTGTGCGTGGACTGATTCCATGTTGCTTACTTGAATGTGGACGATCGAGAAGAGCAAAGCAAACGGTGATCGTCAACATGGGGTTGTGAATAATAGATGACGCGACTCCACAACTGAGACAACTAACACAGGATACGTCGAACCCACGTGACCACCTCGTTAGCGACTCAGGTCCAGTTGTTGTGAGACAACGGCCGGACTTGAACGCACGACGCAACCTTGAAAACGATCTCGAAAAGGCAACGCTGTTCTGTGGGGGTCAGTATGTGTGGCGTTCCCAACTGATTTACTGTGGTGCGCGTTGCTGTGGAATTTTGCAATGACCGCGTCATGATCGGCGTGTGTATGCAAGTCATGCCACGCGTGACAAGACAGTAAGGCCACCCACTGTTGAGGCTCTGTCGTTTGTATTCGTATCGCAACCACATTCGCTGGACAGGGCAACTGAACGAAGAAGGATGTTTTCCAGAGCAGTGTTGGGTGGTACTGAGGTAGCGGCATGGATCGCGACTTGTGCATCATAGCCAAAGTATGGTCGCAAGGTCCTTATAGTAAATAGAGATATTTGGCCGGCAGCAGTCGGCAAGAGATAGCGAATACGTGTCGTCGTTGACCTCAATCACGGTAACGATCATCACACTGTGACCATGCCTGACAGAGGACCCTGTCTTAGTCTACTAACACGCCGTTGGCATGAGTTATTCACAACGGCAAACGAGATCTCGTGATATTTGGCCGCAAAAAAACGTTCCTCTGCTTCTGAAAACCACTGGGCTCAATCATGTCATATATTGGTGGTAGTTGCAGAAAGCAAATGACACTTGTCGTCGATGGTTGTCGGTAGGAAGAGGTTAATGAGAGGGCACCGACAGTGCCACTAACGCTGTAGAACGCACAAACGCTTTTCGCGAGCAGAAAGGCTCAAAGGGTATGCTTCTTTTGCCCGTCAAGATGTGTCCATCAGTATTTGCATTCTGTCGAGCGCATCAACAGGCTACAGAGAATGCAGCAAGTCTTTCGTATAGCAAAGAGCAGTTCACCTGCAACGAACGCCTCGAAGTATGTTCAACAAGGTCCCCATCCAGCCATAGAGTGATCGTGCAGTTGACAGGCAGCCAACCTGGCTATACTTACTAATGCGACGCCTTCCAGTCCGGAGATCTCGCTGCCATGAGGGTCAGTACCTGATGACGTTGCTGCACAGCCGACGTCCGATCTCCATCGCGGTTCTCACGGTTTGTTGCCTTTCAGTCACCACGAGACTGGCGCTTTTCGTAGCCTCCAGCAGACGCTTTCATGCTGTGTGCCTGTCGCCACGTCTTTCACTGCGCTGTCGCCCACAGTGATCGATCCCTCGCAGTACAAGACAATGGAACTGCAGCTCTAGGAGTCCACAGAGCTCCAGTTTGTAGAACAGATACAGCAAAGGCGGCAGTCCACACGGCCACAAGTTCGGCACACGATGAACTGACTTACCACATACATTGACATCACACACGTATTGCTGCAGCACGTTCTGCTCGTCCCATATCTTCGAGCCAGTAGACGCTCTTTCGGCACAACACACGTTGACTCTCCTAATAAGCCGTCTGCCTTCGTACTTAGACCATAAATCAGAGCCAAAACGGACTGGAAATTGTTTCGCAGCTGACGCACGACGTCTCTCGCGACACGATGAGCTCGTCGGCGCTCAGTATGTCACCAAATCTCTCCCCACCGCTCTACCCCAATGTGCACAACAACTCGTACAGCTTCTGTGGCGATGGAAGGGCCATAGAACGCTTCGGGAGACTTTTCCGACCAGACGACAACTTCACCGACGTGTGCGTGACGCGGGAATAGGTCGATTTGGGACTGAGGGAGTCGACGGCTTTACCGCTCATCATTAGGTTCTCATGGATACCTTATTGTGCTTATTCTAATACTGTAGCACACTGGAGAACTGGGATCTGAGCGACACCGAACGACTCGATCTACCGCGGTCGATTCGAAATTTGTACGACGGGACATGCATGTGTACGCATGAGGAGAATGTGCTACTAACATATCCATGTGCGTACATTCGTAGGCGTCTGATCAGGTGCAACTTGATCGACATTCCAGACGAAGTGCGCGCATTGGAGAACGTGGAAGAACTGTACGACTGGGCGTCCGCCTTTGTAATGTCACTTGGCTTGGTATGCTGACGAGTTTGTATTGCGTGCAGAAACCTGGCCGAAAACCGTCTGCGATCATTCGAAGGTATACTTCGTGCCTCAATGGGCATGAGAAAGCTGTAGGTTTGTTGTTATGCTGTGCCCGTTTGATACACTCGTAATCACGTTTGCTTGTATGAACCCATCCATTAGGAACGCTTCACACAACCGTCTCGACTTGTACAATGTATCGCTCCCGAAGTTGACATCGCTGTAAGTTTGCGGGCTCTGTAGTCTGACCTTGTTGTTCACCTTCTGATATTCTCGCGTCTGCTCGTCATGCCTCTACCAGTGATCTATCCGCGAACGCGTTTGTGGGTTTTCCTGACGCCATCTTTGTATCGTCCCAGTTGGACACTGTTCGAATTTCGGAGAACGAGTTTGAAATTGCTGCTGTGTCGGCAGCACAGTATGACTTTTTTGCTGGTCTGACGAACTTCGAAGCAGCTTTCGCGAATGTTTCTACATGCACCTCCGGGTCATTCCTGTATCTACAAGGAAAAGGCGTATGCCAGTATGGCGTAACGGTAGAAAGCGACATAGCCAGTGCCTCATCAAATCGCAGTACCGGTCCAGTGGGGGAGACCCTGACTTTGACCACCGAAGGATCGATGGAAGCTTCACACTTGCCGGTTTTCAGCGACACCACAAAGAAGTACATCATTGCGGCGATTGGCGTCCTGGTAGTAGTTGGCATCATCGGAGGCGTTGTCGCTTTGGTTTCACTCGGCATTGTCGGTGGCATTGCGCGAGTTGTCTATGAATACATTGGACGGCGGCTGAAGAAGCGGCATCGCGACGACATCCACGAAAACACGCCTCTATTTTTCGACCAGGCAGCTCGTGCTGGCTATCAGATAGAGATGGAGGCGGTCGACAAGCTGTTTCCTTCCAACGATCCTGTACTTGTGACGTGGCGCATCGACTACGACAGCGTGACACTGATCAAAAAGATCGCCCAAGGCGCGTTTGGTGAAGTATGGATGGGTCAATACCGGTATGAGCGAGTAGCTGTCAAGCGACTGCTTCAGGTAAAAGTGTCTCTAGCGACCAGTGAAGCCTTCTTGCGTGAGATCAAGCTAATGGCGTGGCTTGAGCACCCCAAAATCGTTCAGTTTGTGGGCGTTGCTTGGACGAGGTTGGTTGACATGCTTGCCGTAATCGAGTACATGGATGGCGGAGACTTGCGTACTTTGTTGGAAAAGAACGCCCCACAATGTCTGCTGTGGCAAGAGGGTTCAAAACTACGATTTGCCCGCGACACAATCGACGCGATTGTGTACCTCCACTCATTGAGCCCCGTTATCATTCACCGTGATCTGAAGTCGCGGAATATTTTGCTGGACTCCAAAAAGGGTGCGAAACTAGGCGACTTTGGCGAATCGGCGACGAAACGATCGAAAGACATGACTGCAGGCGTTGGTACAACGAGGTGGCTTGCTCCCGAGCTTGTTCGTGGAGACAAAAGGTATTCAGAGGCTGTCGATATATATTCGTTCGGCATCATCCTCTCCGAATTGGATACACACGAGCTACCTTTCGCGCACGCCAAACATCGTGACACGGGCACTCCACTCAATGACATGGCCATTCTTCAGGGCGTCTCGTCTGGCACGTTACAAGCCTCATTTTCTACGTCTTGCCCTCCGAAATTGCAGGAGCTTGCGAGACAGTGCATGAGCTTGGACCCCGCTTTACGCCCGACCGCAGCTCAAGTTGCCTATGCAATACGAAGTCCAGATATTCTTCTACTCTAGCTGTCAGCTAAGGAAGGGCAGTGTTACGTGCAACGTTACCTCGCGGTTGCCGCACTGGGTCACCTTACATGATGACGAAGGACGACATCTTATCACGTCGTGGTAAGCAGATGCGACGAGCACATGATGTTTCTCGCACATCAAAAAAAAGCATGGTAGCACACCTGCGCAGCGTGGGTCGTGATGTCGCGTTCATCGCAATGGGAACCGAGTTCGGATATGCGCGACTTGAAGTACTCACGTGGACGTGGCAGGTCGACGAAGAGTCAGGTTGGGTCACCTTGGTCATGGTACAGTGGGTTGCTCGCCAGCCGGTGTGCCGGAATCTGATGATGCGATCAAGGCTGATTTTGCCGAGGAGTCGAGCGCAAGACCAACCGTAGTCACTGATGTTTCCAACTGCGAAGTTGGAAACATCAACATGGCTACTCCGCCTATCTGTTGCGACAAAAAGGGGTAATCAATCGATCGGTCTGTTGCTAGCCTCGCAAAGGCTACTCTTGCTGGCTCAAAAAGGGTCTATCACAAAAGCTGAACCGAGTGAGAGTACAAGCTCATTACACTGCTGGTTGTAGGATGATGCGATTGTTTGAGCAGACAACAGGATGCTCAATCCGGACACTTTGATGTCATTAAACGAGATTGAATTGTACAAAGTCTGGACGAATATTGCTCCAGTTGAATTTGCCATAGGAAGAAAGAGGAGGTAAAGGCAGAATCGGAGAAGCTGTCCCACACTAAGTTCTTACCTGTAGCTGGTAACTATTTTGGGCGTTCATTAGTCTCGTTCCATAGCCTCTGAGGTATCAGGTATCGCCAGAATGTGCAAAAATACTGTTACAAAAGATTTTATATTTCATCGAATTCAACAAAAAGTCATGTAGGTATGTAAAAAACCCTGCATCACAAAATAAGAAACAAAAGAATGCACCTTTTCATTACTTACTGAAAATAAAAAACAGTCAGAACAATGCATCCGGTTTATCACGAAATCAAAGCGTGCACACAAGACGAGAAATCAAGACGTGTACCGCTAATGTATATCATACGACCGAAGACGCACATGCCTAGGTTTTTTTTTCAAAAATCGGAAGATGCCAACGCAAAAGAGGCGTGTATTATGTCGTTACCAACTTGCTACGATGCTTTCGTCCCTTCGACACCAACCATTATCGCCCCGAGTTAACTACACCATCCGAGGGTAAGAAATACCGTCCAACAGAAGAGGTCGACTGACTGCCACGTTTTTTGTAGCGACGACTGCTTCTTCAATATCATTCATATACATATACGCATCTCTGTATCATCCCCTCTTTTCGAAGGAACGTACGTTGACGCTTTAAGCGCTACCCAACAGTGTTGCTTATCGTTCCGATGTAAGGCCACATTGCCTATATCCAGCCTTTGTGGCTTGAGATTGTGCTATTGTGTAGCTGTCGTCTCGGCTCAATTGTAAAATTGGATGAGAGGAGAGAAGTTGGCACCGCGGTTGAATGAGGCGTACACAATGCTCTGTAAGAGATCGAAGGTTCGACCCGAAACAGCATAAGATGACGCACAGACATGCAACTGATATAAAATATTGCGAAGAGCTGGTGGAAGTGCTTGGTGCTCTGGCAGGCGTTCACGCAGATGCTTGCGAACATACGAAGTGGAAAGCACGCCGGTAAAGCGCGTCATTCTGATGGAGTGTCGGGGTCTTTACAAAGAAGTGGCCCAATCCGGTGGTTGTGTTGGCGCTAAGTTAAAAACAACCATTGAGGAGCTGTGAAGTTAGGCGCAATGTTGCTATTTGCAGCTGAGGTCATTACTTGCGTAAGTGTAGGAAAATCGGGTTTCTTGGTCCACAAAGATCGAACATGTAGCACACTATACTCCTACTTGATTAGGCTAAAAAATGATAGTCGCACCACCTGCGTTCACACCAGATACAGCCGCTGCCTTCGTGCAATTAGTGTGTCGTGTGTGTGTGTGTGTGTGTGGTAAAGTTACTCGCGTGCTAACAACTTTTGTGGCGTAAACTAGGTGATGAATGGATATAAATAAATGACCGATCCGACACCACTATGGGAATTATCGCTATTTGCTGCTACGATATTTGCTACAGCTTTAACGATAAAATCAGTCTTTCTCGAACGATCTCCAGTATGTGTATACTCCATCGTAGACTATACACCACTAGTCCTTGTACCTTATTTTCGGATTATTTGGCGCAGTGTTTTTAGCTTGAATTTGTTTCCGATTTTGCCCATCGTGTGGTGCACATTTCGATATCGTGATTATCTATCGCATTTATCTGATGTTTCTTTGGTAAAAGACTTGGTCTCTTCAACCCGCTTTGGCATGGTTACGCGTACTACCGCTTCTCGAAGTGGATGATACATTCCGTTTCGAGTACGAAGTTCATTTGCCTGTCAGGAATGAACAAAGAGAGGATCGGGCTGTCAATAGATGGAGGGCCCTTCATTTGACAAACTACCAAAGCCATTCGGTGAATTGATGTGTTATGGCGATTTTTATCGATCAAATTTGCCAATTAACATTTGGTTGTCAAGCGAATAAGGTCTACCCAAATCTTATTGTAATATTTCTGACTTTACGAATGCAAAAATGTCGAAGCCAGTAGCATGCGCAAACGCAAACGATAAGCAACGATAACCCGAACTTTACAAAAATGGTGACGGGAGGGAAAACCGACCATTTTGATCACTTTTCGCGCGTTCACGTCGACAGACACAAGGCCTTTGCATAGCTTTCCTCGTCATGACAGCTAACGAAACGATAGAGCTTTTGGCATGTGACGCCTCACAAGTAAATTCGGACACAAAAGTACTCTCGTTCTTGATTGACCAAGTTTGTTTGTAAGCGAATTTACAGCAGTGTAAATACATACAAGTTTTCAGAATCGCCTAATAATATTAATCTGATCAGACGGCTTTGTCTGTATCAAAAGTGCCCGCACATCGCACGCACGTTGCGCTCCACGTCACGACGAAAAGAGCCCTATCGTTACAAGGACGACGCACTTTTGATCTCACGAGCCGAAGGCACTGGATGTATAAGCACTTGACACTGCATACATTGGACAAGCGTTCCCGCCAAAAATTGTACTGCTGCTCCAAGGGCTAGAACTCCCGAACCAGCACTGAACTCTGCAGCGACGTATGCTCAAAGTTGGCCGTGTGAAATGAATTTAGACTCAGCGCGCGCTTGCGCTCCGGCACTTCGTCGTCGCAGTCGTAGTGCCGAATAGTGGGCTGATGTCTCGCTGAAAACGGCCGGTGATCGAATTCGCCACTGTCAACGTTGTTGTGGTTGCTTGGCAGCGCGCTGCGGTTTATGGCCAGCGAGCACAAGCTGCATATCGTGAGCTTCATCTTGCCCACTACCGGAATGTCTGCGTTAATAATTAACTTGCATCGACCGCAAATGACCTACAAACAATGAAAGACACGACAGGAACAGAGTTAGTCGTCATCTGCGCAATCCTCGTCCTGAGCGCTTACAGCCGCTGCAAGACGATTGAAAGGATGGGATACGAGCACACAGAATATGCTGCCCATTGCGTCTCAACTCCGTCGCGGCCATCCGCAGCCATCCTATCCTCGACTTCACTTCCGTACCTCGCCACATTTCTGACAGTTGTATCTCCTCTTGAAAGTGCCGATGTCGTCCACACAGACAAAGCACGTCTTGACCTGACCGGGTGCCATCAATTGGCTCCGACGCACAAACGTCTGATTCGCCACACGCTTCATATTGATATATTTCTTCAAATGCTCCAAGCTCATAAGGCGCTGTCTCAGCCCTTTGGCCGCAATCCATTGTGGGACATTGCCCTTGAGATCCGTGTACACTGCTTGCACAATGTCCAGCGTTTTCCGGTCGCGTTTGCTCTCAATGAACACAATGCCCGAGCGGTACATACTGCCCCGCACGAACCCGTGCGACTTTTCCATGTCCGGGCAGCTCTTGATCTTAACAGAATGCAGGCATCGAGTAAAGCCTCGCCGCCCGTCCGGTAGCGAGAAACGACGCTGGATCTCGAGGTAGCAGTAGTCTCGATTGCGCACCATGACGTAGGGCGACCGCACCGCAGACCAGCGGATGCCGATGAACACGGTACTCGCCTCGCGTCGGTAGGACTGGATTTCATAGAGAATCACCGAGTGCAGAATGTCCGGCGAAAGTTTCTTCTCGAGCTGCATGTTCGGATGCGCCATGTCAATATCGTACAGCTCCATGACCTCCTCGACGCTCGCTTCGACCTGCGTGATCCCTCGAAAGTAGTAGACCCCGTCGTCGCCTTTCTTGGCGCCTGACTTGACCTTGACCTTCTCCACGCGGATGCTCTCCATCTGCTCCGTGTACTCCCACTTCAGACCGTCCTGGACCTGGTCGTCGCCCTCGTCGCTGTGAAAGCTCGAGTCGACGCTATTGGCACGACGGGTAAAGGCTTCGCCCGCCGAGAAGCGCAGCAGCTCGTCACACGCGCGGTTGGCCTCGTGCGTGATCTGCTCCTTGCGCGCGACTGACATGGGCGGACAGTGAAACTTTTTCCATTTGGGCTGCTTGGACTTCATGAAGCGACAACGAATGGGGGAATGGAGGGAACGGCGATCACCCGCGGCGTTCGCTCTGAACAGATGGGTGCACGGCGTTCCAACGAGAGCGAGCGAGCACAGAACTGGGACGCCCTCGCTGATTTCCTGCTCGCAAGAAAAAGGACCGGACTGACGCAGCAGAACCGCCAGGATACCTCCTCCTCCTCCCCCCCACCGTCTCATTTTGACAACAAGGACTCGTCAGGACAGCAAAGCATGTTGTCGCGCAGGTAGACGCACTGCAAGTGCAGCACGTGATGCAGTAGCGCCTTCTCAAGCCGCACGATAGGGCCCTCCTATGCGCGCAAGAGACGCGAACGATTTCGTTTGCGTTCGCACGACTCGAACGACAAGCACCACGCACGTTGCAGCTCTGGTTATGTGCGGTTGCAACGAGACCACCAAAGCTTCAAGCCCACTCACTCCCTTTAGGCACAATTACGGACGCTTTGCGCCGCGCAGACCAGACACCGCACGCTGTCGATCTTGTTACCCGCTTGCGGTCGAGCTGGACGTGGGAAATGGGCTGTGCTCGTGCCGATACTGTTCCTTCGTCCTCAGCCAAGTGCACGACAGGGCACGTACCGACAGACGGGACTAGTGACTAAGGGGCTCTTCTGAGCCTCATGATGGCACGAAGGACGGCTGCTGGCTGCCTCTGCTCTGCGCAGGGAAAGCGATACGTCATCAATCGTGTGCCTACGAAAAAGATGTCGCGCGAACGCGGCAATGGGAGCGGACTGGTGTCGTCGGTCTCTGCACTTCAGAGTCTGCCACACCAGTGGGAACGCCGCGCTCGTTGATGTCCTCAACGTGCAGCTGCACCAACGATTGATAAGAGCTTTGCCGCAGCAAACGTCACCTGTGGAATCCATTCCTTTGGGTCACCCGCACACTCTGCGAACGCTCTGCTCCACGCACACAAATCCCATTTGCACTGTGCGACGGTCTCGTCGGTCGAGAACTGGTCCGGGGCTCCCACCTTGAGCCTTGAGCATCAACCTGGTCGACCACCACAGCCTTTCCGGGGGCACGTACGCGCGTTTTTCTCAGCCAATGTGTCCAACTTACCCGTCGTCACGGTCCTGTCGGGTAGTACAATCGCCAGTGCGACTTAATCGAAACATGCCACCAGCAGCAGCGTCACAAGCCATTGTACATGGGTCAGTAGGGTCTGGCGGATCGAGGTAGGTAGCTTTTCGTCTCGGCGCAATTACTCTACGTCGATGTTCGAACGTTTACGCACATGTAAACTTACTGCTCGTCAACTTCGCATGCAGCGATACTTTAGCGCGCACGGGTAAACCTACGGCGGCTCAACTTCGGATGCATTGATACTTCTGCGAGGGTCAGACCGTTCGTCCAGCTTGGCAGCAACAGTTATGGTCCCGTCCGAAGACGCTCGTCAAGTCCACCGTGACGAGCACTTTTCAATCTGCCGCCATCGACTGACAGTACGTCGGCATGAAAGTGTTGGGCCTCTTTGCTGCACTCGCTTGGGGTCTGCTTCTCGCCTCCACTGGAGCCTCTACTCGGTGCTCCACGTGGTCGTCGGCCTACAACAAAGTGCTGGAAGGCGTCTGCGTCTGCAACGTGACCCACTGCGACGCTGTTGTCGGTAACCACACGCAGCTGAGAGAGGGGCAAGTGGGCGTCTACACGACGTCTGAAGCCGGCGACCGCTTGGCGTACACAGTGGTCGACATCGACGCCTCGACCGTCGGCGAACCGACGTACACGATCAATGTGCTCGCGCAATTCCAGACGATGCTCGGCTTTGGCGGTGCCTTCACCGACGCGGCAGCCATCAACCTGTACAAGTTGGTACCGGAGCTACAGGAGGTCGCCCTCAGTCAGTACTTCGCCGACTCGGGGCTGCAGTACAACATGGCGCGTGTGCCGATCGGCTCGACGGACTTTTCGAAGCGAACGTACACGTACAATGAACAAGCGGACGACTTTGCCATGACCAACTTTACGATCGCGTCCGACAAGGCGCCGCTCTCGAACAAGATGGACCTCATCCAGCGTGCACGGAGCATGGCCAACCTGACGTTCTTTGCGTCGTCTTGGGCGCCTCCGCTCTGGATGACAAGTGGTCAATCCGTTGTTGATTGCAAGATCAAGGGCAGACCTGGAGAGAAGTACTGGGCGGCGCTGGCACTGTACTACTCCAAGTTTTTCGACGCGTATAAGGATGAAGGCATTGAGTTTTGGGCTATGACAGTCCAGAATGAGCCTGAGAAGCCCCCTATTGCGATTCCCAACTGGGAGACACTGCGAATGACCCCTGAAGAAGAAAGGGACTTCATCAAACTGGACCTCGGTCCATTGATGGCAAAAAACCACCCGGGCCTGAAGATCATTGCAAACGATGACCAGAAAAGCGGACTGCTGGATCGGTCGGCACCCTTTGGCGACCCTGAGTCGAAGAAATACATCAGCGGAGTCGCCTTTCACTGGTACAAGAATTTAGATTTCATTCTGCCTGGCGCTGGCGACTATCACGACTTGAGGAAGTTCAACGAAGCGTACCCTGACATGTTCATGCTTGCAACGGAAGCCTGTGAAGGATATTTGCCCCGTTTCATCGGCACGGGAAAAGGGACTGCGCTGTATGATCCTGCACGAGCTTGGAAGCGTGCGCAGAATTACGCGCGTGACATCATCGAAAACAGCAACAGTATGGCTGCCGGCTGGGTTGACTGGAACTTGTTTCTGGACTCGAAAGGAGGTCCGAACTGGGCGGGAAACTTCGTGGATGCGCCCATTATTGTCGATGAGAAGAATGGCAAGGAGTTCTACAAGCAGCCAATGTACTACATCATGGGCCACTTTTCCAAGTTCGTGCCGCCGGGATCGAGACGCATCGAGCTGGTAGAGTCGAAGACGCTGAGCGACTTCCACTTTTGCGCATTCGTGACACCAAGCAATCAGATCGTGATGCAATTCTTGAACCGCGATCGGTCGGCGGTGACTCTTAGCGTGAAACAGCCGGACTCGCACACGTTCACACTGACGGTTCCTGCCAAATCGATGCAAACAGTGATTCTGCCTGTGTCGAAGAACAGCACTATTTTGTCCGCAGCGAAGGGCCTTGTGGTCATGCCTGCGTCGGAGGCCACTACGCTGTCGGGCGCATCGAAGGAAACTTCATTCTTTTCGTTTTTCTTTTGAGTGCATGTGATGGCATGTTTCTGCCGGATCAGTGCGCGTCATGCCAATTGCCAATGGCGCTCTTACGGCGTCGTCCTTGGCCCCAGTTTCAGCTCGGTATCTTTTTATCGCTGAATTTCGAGACGATCTCATCCGGCGCTTCACATGAGCGTGCGACATTCGTTTTGTAATTGGAAGGAGATCCCGATGTCAAGTTGAGAGCCTGGAGTGATCGAATTGGTGAGCTGCCATATGGCCAGCTACTTTACAGTCTGTCGTCGCTACACCGGGTGCCAGCAAGCCTGATACGCGTCCGGGCGCCGGCTGTGTTGCCCCGTCGTCTGTACGACAGTTTGATCTCTTGGACGGAGGTCGTGCCCGCAATGAAACTCAGTGCGGTTCGACCATCTGGATGTGGCAAATTGGCTTGTGGGCTCCACCGCTGCGTGAAGGCTGTCGCAGGCTTACAAGCGTGACAATCAAGACGGACGCGCGTCCAGTACGAGACCCTGTCTTTTCCATCGATGTCGCGACGTATTCGTCGACGGTTCTTTCAATGGCTTCGGCGGCGCGTAAACGAATGTGACAGCTACTACCACTAATAAAGTGTCGGCAGAACTGGACTGGACAAACAAGAATCGGACGAGGCACTGCAATACAATCTCTGGCTCTCGCAATCAGATCGATTGGCTTCGTCGGGTTGCAGATGTTGGTGGACCATACTGAAGAGATACTACCGATTGACCTGATTTGTCTTTTGAGGACAGACAAGAAGTCATGGACCCGACACCGGCGGAAACGGATGAATTGTAAGTAGAAGTTGCTCCATCGTTGTCAGCGCCTCTGTGGGCAAAAAGCCACGATAAATTGACTCGATCAATTGGCCTGGGACCTCAGTGGTTGCGAAGGATCGAGTCGACGCGAGGATCAGACCAACTGGCACTTGAGATCGAAGTCAAGCTCGCGGCTCGCTCGGAGCGACTAAGAGGCTTCGACATGGTCGAGTTTCCCGTTCAGTGACCGCTGGATGTGTTCTGTAATCGTACGACGATTCGTGAGTAGACGTGAAAGACCACGTTGTTGCCAGCCTCGTGCGCTTTCTATCTTGTCTTTCGTGGTCTTCTGCCTTTCACTCATGCATGCGACGGCTACATGCCGACGCCACTGTGCAACGTCGAGCTCAGACACTTGTGCAGGCGGACGCGTAGCCAAAGCTACCACCGGCACGACATACTTGGAGACTCACACAGCCAGGCAGTAGACCGGATCTACTCGAACTGGGTGATGGACGGCGATGAAGGTCCGTGTTGAAGCACACCGGTCGACAGAACTGCCAGGGGTCCGTGTGCACGACGATCCGTGCTACAAGCAGCTGATTGCACTACGCAGTAGAGCACTCGTTGTCGAGGGGACGTCGAGGCATCAGACTGTCCCATACTTTAGCTTCGAAACGGATAAAAGCCCAACATGACCTCACTGATGAGCGCACTGAGGGGCACTAACCTGCGCTGCCACGACCCACGCGTCGATTGACCTACGCAAAGCCGACCGGAACTCTCTTTCGAAGATTCGATCAGCCATCACGGCATTGTTCCACGGCATGAGAGGATTGCTTGGCCGCCTCGACACCAGATCCGATACAATAATGATAGCGGACACGTGACTGCGAGACCTCGTGAACGCTGTAGGCAATCGGAACGAGGCCTACCGGCACAGCGTGGAAGGATTCTGCACGTTTCTGGCTCGATCATTGATCGCTACCGACCCGTTTCAAGCACCTCCCAGTGACTAAGCGCACCTCGAAAGAACTTGGCATCCTACAGGTGTTTATAGTCGGTACGTTTGCGCGAAGAGCTCCGTTCAAACGAGAACGTAAGCGTCAGACCACCTGCTGCTAAACTGCGAGGGCATTCGAAATGAGTGGTCCCGTCGAAGGCGTCGCGACTGACACGAACGCCTCGAAGCTCTAGGCTGTGTTGCCACCGCTTTTGTGCGCTCTTCCCCGCGAGCGAATGCTTCCAAGCGCAAAGACCCACACCACAGCCGGTACAGTCGATACCCACAGATCGTCGAACGGCTGACCAGTAGAGTCGTACAACGCAAAACTCAATGCCCAATGCGTTCAACGGTCGTCTACTAACGTGCGCGAGCGTCGTGTACTACTTCTCCTCCTCACTGACTTCGCTCTCCCCACTCGTCCGACCGTCACCTTACCTACTGCCTCCAGCACTACCGCTGGTCCACTACATCACTGCAGCCACTGCAGCCAATACACTGGCAAGAGCAACTGCTACACCAATAGACGAGTGCACGGGCGCCGCGCTGCTTGACCCGCTGGCAGCCGCTGGATCGTCACTGGTCGAGTTCGAGGCATTCGACCGACCGCCTGAGCTGTTGCGACCGGAAGTGGACAGCTCCGGTACAAACGCCTGTGCCGCGGCGCTGAGCTCTGTAATGCTCTCGGCGTCTGCACACGTGTTGTTTTCGCACACGACGCTGTCCACGAGGTAGCGCGGCTCGGTGTTGACGTTGCTCAGGTACTCGTTCTGGCTGGCGGCCGAAGCAAAGTAGATCTTCTGGCCGTTCACGAGGCAGACGTAGTGGTAGTTGGCCGTCGTGACGGCGGCCCCTGTCACGGGGTCGCGAATGCCGTCGGCGCACGCGTCGCACGTGTCTGCGCACTCGGCAAAGGCAGTGGCAGCGGTGGAATTGACAATAAACTCGGCCACGTTGGCCGCCAGGTACGACGTGTCCGTGTGGTCCGTCTTGTAGTCGTCAAAGGGACGCGGCTCCATGCCGCACGTGTAGACGATCTGCCCGTGCTCGAGTCCCACGTGGTTCAGGTTGTTGTACCCCATGTCCTGCGTCGACATGCCGCAGACGGGGCAGCGAAAGTCCCCACCGGGAGACGAGCCCGACGCCATGGACGGCGGAGGCGCCATGGCCATGTTGCTCATGTCCATACCGGTCATGTCCACGTGGCTCGTGTCCATACCGGTCATGTCCACGTGGCTCGTGTTGGCCTGCAGTCCGCGCAAGGCGTGCGGCTGCTGCATGCGGCGCGCTGAAGCGGCAGACGCGGCGACAGCGGTCAAGACGAGCGCGGCGTAGGAGGACGAGAGCGGGCGCATGTTGACGGTCGATGAGGTGACGCGAAGGTAACTTGCGGCTTTGCTTGGCGTCAAATGGGAAAGTGAGGGCTGGGCGAGAGCTGCTCGACGCGGTCGTTCCCAGGCGGTGCTCGTCGGGGGGTTGGAAAGAGCCGTTGACAGGTCAATAATTGCGCGCCCTGCCTCCTCTTTTGAGCGCACTGGTTTTGCGACTACCGCATTGTGTTGAAAAAGGGCGTATCGATACCGCTGTGTCTATTCAGCACTGGGGGACTGTCGTTGCGTCACACTGGACGTGGCTGATGACGATGGTGGACCCCCCCACGCCAACAGAGACCACCACTCGTTACGATGTCCCGACTTCTCTGACGTCGCGAGCATCATCGCAGCCTGCGATCTTGCACGAGTCGTGTTCGAGCGGCCCACCGTCTCAACTCGCACTGGCCTCTCCAGTGCAAGAAGGCTGGCGCGTCTGGGGCTTTTCTCTCTTCCATCACGCGGGCACACAGCAGTGGCCCAGATGCGGTCGTGCGGCGGCCTGTCTCTTCGTGCTGTCGGAGCTGCCTGGAAAGCTGCTCTCGGAGTGTGCTCGTTGCAGCTGCGAGGGGGTACGCTTCTGTGCGAAATACCTGAGTCGAACAAAGACGGCGACCCCCACAAGCCGCACAATGCACTCCGCGCGTCTGGTGCCCAAAGGACCTGCAGAGACCTCTTTCTTGTCGCGGATCATAAGCGGACACGACCAGAAGCGCACTCGACTGTTGCATGTTCGAGCCCTAAAGTTGGACGCCGTCGACTGGCAATGCACAGACACGCCATGCAGAAGTGGGCGGAGACCAGATGGAGGGAGTGCACCATGAGCTCGCAACATCCTGAAACATCCTGACGTTCCGCGTGGTATGCGCTGCGATGTTGAATTCGATCATCCGCCCTGTAGTTGCGATCTGGTCGCCCACGACACTGATGGCTGGAACGATAAACCGTTCCGGCTGTACAGCGGGCTTGGCACCGTCTTGCTTCAGCGAGCCGGACGCGAGCCGGATGTATGGGACGCACGGTCCTCACGCAGGCGTCGTAGGCAGGGAGTGCGATGTGTACAGATCGCTGAAATCGACAAGACCTCTCTGCTGCACATGGTATGGAAACATCGAGGTCTTCTCGTGTCGGCGTTTCATCCACCACCATCATCATCATCTTCTTGAGGCACTGTAGCCACATCAGGCTTAGCAAAGTACGCAGAGAACTGCCCCACTGGTCGATCCCATTACATGGATTTGTAGCCTAGTCGTTGCTTGTCATCACAGGCGCCAGAACCACTCGTCATTGCGGTCGCTACGAGTTGCGTGGAATCTTTCCGTCTTTGTGTTCGATACGTTTTGCGTGCAATATTCTCTAAGCGTCACGCTCGATATGTGGATGGCCATCGATAAGACACGGAAGGTTTTGTATTCACAGCTTTGACGAAAGAGTTTCTTCACACCGTAGTTGATGCATGATGGATTTCTGTCTTGATGCTCAGCCGTTCGTGTGTAGTACTTGAGCTATGCATACTGTTACCATATCCTCGCCCCGTGACCAATATCGTGTGGGTATAGCCACGCACTTGAGATAGCAAAGCATACACCACAACGAACGGGCTCAAGACCGCTAGGTCAAGGAGGATGGTCACCGACAACACTGCCGGAACCTGCTGCAGTCGCATTTTCGATATTGCTGCTATGTGAACACGTTGAGACTTTGTTGGTGGTGGCCATTTCCGCAATCACTGACATCCCTGTCGTGAGATACGACGTTGAGGTTCGTCAGGCGACTTCTTCCATCCAATTGATCTGTTGGCGAACAATGGAAGACGAGAGGAGCCGCGAGCTGCGTCCATGTCGTCTTCATCTCTTTTGTCCTTCCACGAAAGTCTCAGAGGCTCTTGTTTTGGCACACCCGACTTCACAATTGCAACGTTGTGACATACGTACGACTCGACCTCAATCCGAGTCAGATTGGCATGAACTCGGCAGCTGTGGCTGTAGCACGAACCACCTGGACGCGCGCACGTTTTCCTCGTCGCAACTTACGCTTGAGGATAGACAGGGCCCAAAGCGACATGAAAGCTTCCGCGAGGGTAGCCTCGTCAACGTTACGGAGCATGGCGACATGTTTACAAACTTACGTTAGATAGCAACTATAGTACCATCTTCGCATGATACTATTCCGATGGATACATGAGCACGCAGTCAGGGCGCAACCGCTCGATGTTGTCTAGGGGTCCAGAATGCCATCCACATACCAGCTAGACCTCTGTCGAAGCACCCAAGTGATGAGTGCCGCGCGACTAAGTGATACTGCCATAACGACCAACTTCGCCAGCCCTTCTCTCGACAGGCAAACCACCTCATGCTTTCAGACACCATCATCAAATGGCCGCACATCTTGTCGTAGACGATTGCCATGGTATGCCATGCGACCATAGACCACGTCTCCATTTAGTAGCTGCTTGCAACTTGGCCGATCACGATCGTCTTGATTGAGAAAGCTTCCAGCGTGAAGCTGCTGCTCAGCTGCTGGCTCGATAGACTCACACTGATGTCCCGTGCAGAGCTGTTGCGATTGGAGACAATGAGCACGACTTGTTTCTCGGGAGTCAAAAATGCAACGCTGTCCACCTGACTTGCGATCGAAGACACGCTTGAGCTGACAGCCAGGTCCACGCGGACTGAGCCAGGCGGCAAAAACTTGGAGAAGTGGCCCATGGCATAGAACATCGGCTGCTTGTAAAACTCAGCGCCTCCTTCTTCGTCAATGAGAATCGGTGAATCGATGCGGTTGTCGATCCATGTGGGACCGCCGGTCGCGTTGAGCACCAGGTTCCAGTCCGTCCAGCCCGAGGCGTAGTGAGAAAGATCCAGGATCATGTCACGCGCGTAGATTTGCGCTCGCTGCCACGCCAACGTGGGATCATGAAGGGCAGGACCAGCACCTGTGCCGACCCCATCAATCAAGTAGCCTTCACACGCCTCGGTGGCCAAGATGAACACGTCAGGATAGCGCTGGTGGAAAGTCTCGAGAGCATCGAAGTTGCCTGCTGTGTCCAGCAAGAAATCGAGGTCCTTGTACCAGTGGACACCAGCACCCGAGATGTACTGTGCCGACTCTTTGTCGAGCAATGCGGCGTCCCAGTCCAGCAACAGATCTTTCTGGTCATCCATCATGATGATCTTGAGGTCGGGATGTTCTTCTTTCAGCACGGGGCCAAGGTCCCGCTTGATGAAGTCGCGCTCCGTCGTAGCATTGAAGCGCAGACTCTGCCAGTACTTGAACGAAAACTGTTTGGTGGGCTCGTTTTGCGTCGTAAGGGCCCACATTGGAATTCCTTCGGCTTCGTACGCCGTCACAAACTTGGAGTAATACAGCGCCAGAGCTTTCCAATACTCACCGCCCGGGTACCCTTGCAGGGCGCAGTTAATTGTCGTGTTCTCCGTTGTCATCCACGCAGGTGGTGCCCAGGAAGATCCAAAGAGCTTCATACCTCGAGCAGACGTATTCATTGCTCGCTGGATGAAGGGAATCTTCTTGGCTTTGTCCACGTCGATGCTGAAGTTCTTCATGGCCAAGTCGCCCTTTACATCGTTGTACGAGTAAACCGAGAGCGAGAAATCCGTCGAGCCGATCGGAATGCGGCCAATCGTGTACTGCAGCCCGCCGTCGCCAAAGTACGCGCTCAGAAGAATCTCTTGGAGATTGGACGTCAATCGATCAAAGTTGATGGCGGACGCGTCCGTGAACGCAAACCACGTCCACGGCGTATCTTCAAACGTCTCTCATAAAAAAAAAAAAACAAAAAACAAAAAAAGGAAAAAAAACAAAAAAATTTTTTCACCGCCAAAGCCGACGATTGCCTGGAAAGTCGTCGCGGTGTCGACAATAAAGTCTGCGGAATCGTTGGCAGCCAACGTCAGTGCAACCGCCGAGACAGTCAAGCGGTCTCCGGACTTGGAAGTCGAAAACACACCCGCCTCATAGCTAGACAGGTGCAAGTGGTCATTCGACACCGTGTCGCACGTAGCGTCCGAACATACGCAGACGCCTTCGAGATGCGTCTTGTAGCGCTTCGACCAGGACGTGCAGATGTTTGTTGTGGCGCTGACAGTCGCTATTGCGAGCAGCGCCAGCATGTACCGATGGGGCTGGAGCGGCAGCATCTTTGACGATGAAACAACAGACAGCACGTACCAGTGGCAGTCGCGCCTGGACTCAGCCGGTTGCGGCCGGAGGATGCAACGAAAGAGGCTGTGCGACCCGTACGCTTCCCGTCGATCCTTCCGACCAGTTGGAGCGAGCAGATTGGGCTTCGAGTAGAAACCTGACGGTGGTGCACACGTGCTGTGCACTGCCCTCATGTGTCACCACAACCAGGCAAAGCAAGCCGCTCGACTTTGAACCTGTGTGCTTGAAGGGAACTGGGGCTGTTCCATGCGCTATTTCCTGCACGCATGCAGCTGCCGTTCGTTCTTGACGGAGCCGTGTGGTGAGCGAGGAGAAGGTGGTATGCGAACGTGTTTTGATCGACACCGCACTGGAAGAAAGAGGGACTGCTGTCGAGACCAGAAGGTCTTGCGGCTAGACGGTCAGCCTGACAACAATGTGGGGCCATACCCCCGAGTGTCATCACTGGTAGTAAGTGGCGTTGCCACAAGCGCAGTAGCTATCTATCAGCCTGCAGAAGCGAATGGCGCGACGCGGCACAAGATCCTCAATGTCCGCTACCACGCGTCACGTGCCGCATGTATGTCAAAGGTACGTGGTAGAAGTTGAGTGGGTGCAGTACGCGCGGGTGAATCCCATTGGCGTTCGTGTGGAAACAATTTCGAGGCAGAGTAACACGCATTGACGTCGCGGGACGTTGAGAAAACACGTGCGAGTATTTGCTTGCATGATGAAAGCCCATGCTCGATATGCAGTACCCATTAACACTTCGTCAGTCAAGCGAAAGCACAAAGTGGGTGGTGAGAAGACGGTCTAATTGGTGCGACACCAATCTGCAGCGCATGAGGTGCAAACTGTGTTCGGCTTGCCACGATCAGCATCAACAACTTCGTTTCTCCTTGCCGAAACTGTTCCGGTTGGTCGCGCGCTTGTTCCTTACCCGTCATCGCGACGATGGTAATCGATGCACGCTACCTAAAGTCAGCACAGAACGCAGCGACAAACGTTCGAGACGCTTTGCGCTGTAAATCATATCCAAAAGGATGTCGCAACTAGTGACAAGTTCGTCAGTAGGCTCACGTGTTGTTGATTGCTCGCGACAAAGCTATCGATCACAGTACACAAAGCCTCGAGTTGAACCGATGTAGCATTACGGTACACATTCTAGTTGCACTGCTGCTTCTAAGACTCAACTCTCAGTTACTCGTTGTGCTTGCGCAGCGGTCGTACCACGTCGCAATAGCGCGAATGTAGTCGGCGTCTCTCGTGCGGTACAAAACGGAGCTTCGACTCAAGAGCTCATCACGATCAATCGACCGGGAACAAGCAACTCGATCTGCACAAAAACAGAAACCACAGCGAGCTGCGAATGTCGAAGCGCTTAGACAAATTAGTTATGATGCCCGATGGAGGTCGTCCGAATGCCGCCCTCGGGCGATGTGCGCAAGCACTGCCTATGAGCGGTAGTCAGCGATAAGACGAGATGAGGGTCAGATCGTAACGGAGCCCATCGTCATAGCATATCCTTCTCTTCAGCAAAGCAATCGCCATATCGACTGTCGAATGCCACTTGGTGGGATACCTCCCACGACTCGTCGACCGATCTCGTTCGTGCAGCTTCGTGGATTGCTCCTGGTCGCAACTGGAGCAAATGTAATCACTCGCGGCTGCAAAGACTCGTCTTGGCCCAGTTCGGTCAAAACAGGGAGTGGACAGCACTGCCTCAGCTTGATACAAGCAGAGCCATCAGCACTGGCAAAGCGAGCGACTCGAGCCGAGTTACTACGTTCTTCGCCACCACAGAATGGAAACCTTTTGCCTATCTATTACCACAGAAGAGGACGAAGACGACCCAATTCCTCTACACACACAATTGGTCGGTGAGTAGTGTCCGTAACACTTGTGCTGTCCACATGCCCCGCGTGCAAATGAACTGCTGTGTCTGTACTAGAACGACCCCCTGGCTAGTTCCTCGCGTCACTAGAGGACGCTTTTGCCGAAGCGGTGGACAGCTTCGGGTCGCTTTGGCTCGTCGGGTCGCTCTCCTTTCGCTTCTTTCGCATTCGTATCGATGCTGTCCCCGCCTGCGGAATGCTTTTCCCGTTGTCCCACATCAAGTGCCAGATCTGCGTGCACGACGCGTTCCTGTACTTACTCGGATCGTGCGGTCTCGTTTTGTCACAGAGGTACACCATGCCGCCGTTGTGTCGCTCGGTACATTCCGGGCAATAGTACGACGTCCCAGACGCTCGACTGCGAGTGCCTCGCAAGAGCGAGCACACTTTGCACGTGTGTTGGCGATGACTGCGTATCGTCGTGCCGAGGGCGTTGCGGGTCTCCCGGATTTCGTCAGTCTGGACAAGTTTGTGCTGCGGGTGGCCGATGATGTCCCCCCACACTTGCGCGCCACGAGAAGGCGGCGTCACTAGCGCTTTACTCCCGTTAGTTGCAGTGCCAATGTCCACTGGCACCAACGGCAGACGAGCGTCTCCCGAGACGAGCAGCGACGATGCACCGGGCGCTCCAGCAGCCACTGCCTCTAGCGAGGCCGCTGATGCCTGCAACACTGTCTGCAGCTGTGTCTTGAGCAGCTGCACTTCGTGCTGGACCGCCTGCATTTGCGTCGTGAGGAGCGCAATCTGCTTCGTCTGTGCTTCGGCGGGCGACATGGGCGACACGAGTGTCAGTGGGAAGACGTACTTGGGCGCCCAGGCAAAGTCGGCGACCCCCAATTGAATGAGCACCTCGAGCTGCAACGTCTTGTCGGCATCCACGCGAACGAGCTCCGGACCGCGCGGGGCGTCACCGCTGCTGCTGCCCTCGACCGCCGAGTTCTTCAGACTCGCCTGTACCGAGCAAGAGGGCGTGTCAAAATGGCTACACGAGGCCTCAGCGAGCGCACCCGGTGGAAAGCGACCGCTCAGCAGCACGTACCGCGACATAGTGGAGCACCGTCTTCTGGGGTAGCACGACGTCGGCCGGGGCGAAAGCCGCGACGTCCGCCACGTCGCACGTCCTGCAGACAAAAGCATTCGATGACGTGGAGTGAGCTCAGCGCGTCTCTCCCTTTCGACTGACTACACTACGACCGGCGGCAGCCGCACCAGCGCTTCTTGTCCGTCTGGCGCTCGAGCCACAGCATCTCGACGCCATCGGAGTGTCCCACGCCGAAGCGGAAGCGCTCGTCCGGAAACGAGTCGAACGCGGCGTCGCCCTGCACTTCCTGCATTTCGGCGCGAACGGGAACGATAACTTACACTCGACGGCGCCGGCTGCGGTCGAGTGTAAGTTATTTGGTGTTCTGCCGGTTTCCTACCGGTGTTCTACCGATGTTCCTACCGGTGTGCTCCTACCGGTGTGTTGCAAACCGTGAGGACGGGACGTGGCATCCTCCAGACAGGAATATCGCGAACGCAGAGAGGAAGGGCGAAAGGACGCACGTCATGACGCAGCACAGCGTCGCGCGGGCGTACAGTATCATGCAGGAAGTGCACCAGCTGCGCGACAAAGCTCACTATCTCTCCGAGAGAAACGCCGACTTGGCGAAAGCGCTGGTGTGGTGACTCGTCGCTGTTGTTGCACGTGGCCGCGTTCGTCTCAACGATGTGCTCATGTTTTTGCCTGGTGTACCTCTGGACAGACCTGGACGAAGCAAGAGCTGACAAAAGGTGAATGAATGAGCGGTATCGACACTCGCTCTTCGTATAGAGACCATTCTGACCGTGAATCGCGCAGCTCGGGCAGCGCAGACCGCTGTGTTTTCCGGAACAGGTGCTGTCGACGCGTCGACGTTTGCTCACGATGCGCGTCGAGTGAGATGTTGTTACAGTCCATTGTTTGTGTGTCTCTTTATCTAGTGTTACAGTGGATGGAAGCAAGATGCAAGCCCTGTGAAGGTACGTACGAAACGGGTGCTCTGAGTCGCGCGTCGCAGGAAGCTCACTGGATGTTTGCAGTACAACACAAAGCGACTCAGTGCAGCTTTCGAGAACGTGATGAAGCTGATGAGGAATATCAGCAGTTCGAGCTAGACCCGCCACTTTCACCTGCACATCGATTCGACAGTGTGCAGACTGGTTATTCGGTATGCGATGACTGTGCTCACGCTGACGAACGAACGTGACTGACGATTGACGTGCAGCGTTCGCGCACGTCGTCGCCTACTGCGAATGCCGTAACGAGTGAGTTGGAGCGTTCGGGGTGCAAACGGAACGGGAACACTGACCTGCTGGTCACGGATGTGAGTCAAGAATGTTTTCATTGGCTCCGCAGATCCTAGTACTGAATACTCTTGTCGTCCACGAGCAAGGAATGGCAGGCCGATGAAGACTATGATGGCCCAATAGAACGCAAAGCCACGGACGATCGCACAAAGTCGAAACAAGCGACCGGGTCATCTATGTGCACCAGAGACAGCACTGGACGAGATCGTGTTGATAGTCTAGCCGAGCAACATCGGCACATATATTCGTCTCCTGCCGTCTTCTGTTCAGATTCGAGGCGAACAAAGGTACGTCTTCCATTGAGTAACTGGTAAAGCGTGCGATGGCGAATAACTCACGCTACTCGATGCTGGCAGACTGCTGTAACAAAGCGATTGCGCCAGAGAGGCACGAGTGTGTCGTACGTCGAGCCCAAGTTGAACACGAAGCTACGTCGGGTATGTTGGTACCAGCGCAATCGGTTAGGTGCGCAGCGTTATGGGGCTGACGTTAGTGCGAGCTAGGGCGACTACTACGGTTTAGGCAAGCAGGCAGCTCGGGCGAGAAAACACGGTCGCAGATCAGGACACCGTGCGACGGCTGATACGCGTTGCACGGATTCAGCCTCCATGTCAGGTTCCTTCAGTCAGCAGTTTAGCCCCTGTTGCCGTCATAGAGCCATGAGGTCGGTCCAGCGCATCTCGTATGCGGAGCCCAAGCTGAACACGAAGCTCCGTCGGGTAAGAGCTGGACCCGCACAATGTATGCTGACGACACCTCGTGGTCTATCTAACCCATTTATCTTTGTATCGACTTGTGTGTGTGTGATGGACAGGGCGATAAGTTCACCTTTACGACATGAGTGTTCAGTCGTCAATTGAGTGTTAAGTCGTCAATTGAGTGTTAAGTCGTTTTTCGTCAAAGCCCACCGCTGCGGCCCTAGCCCTCACTCACAGCATATAATATAACAGCATTGGTCACAGCTTTTGCAGCATAGAAAATCACCGGACTGTATAGCGATCCATTTTTTGCAACATAGGCACACAACGCAACAAGTCGCAGCAGACCGACTCTTTTCGTCGCGACCAGAGACGTACGCCACATGGGCTGTATCAACACCAAAGCAGCAGTACGCACGCACCGGCCGCTCTTCCATCTCGATAGCGCTCTCTATGACGTGTGTACACTAATCTATGATTTGCTCGTCTCAAGGACCAGAATGTGGTGCCGCGAACAGAGACCGACGGCGAGCACAATGCGACGTCTGCGGGCAAGACCGCGTCGGTAGCTACGAACCCCAACAGCTTCGAGGAGCAGTACACGCTCGGCAAGGTCATCGGTTCCGGCACGTTCTCGGTAGTGCGCACAGCTGTGCACAATCCCACGGCCCAGCGCTATGCTATCAAGTGCATTAAGCGCGACGGTTTGGTAGCGGAGGACATTGAGGCTTTGACGACGGAAGTTGCGATTTTGAAGCAGGTCGGGGGGCAGCTTCTTGAGCATGGGGCGGCTAGTGCTCCTGCTGACGTGTGTGTGTGTGTATTTTGTCGCTCGTAGATGAACCATCCGAACATAATGATTCTTCACGACTTTTTCGTCGAAGACAAGTTTTACTACTTGGTGACCGAGTTCATGGAGGGCGGCGAGCTGTTTGACCGGATCGTTGAGAAAGTAGGTGCCAAGAGCCGCGTCGGGACGGAATGGCGTTATGGTACTTGTGGCGTGCTCTGTTCGCTCATTGACTCTTGTTTTCGATGCAGTCGTACTACAATGAGAGGGAAGCCCGCGATCTGGTAAAGCTGCTTTTGGAAGCCATCAAGTACTGTCACGATGCGAACGTTGTGCACCGTGACTTGAAGCCGGAGAATCTCCTGTTGACCAGCAAGGATGATGATGCATCCATTAAATTGGCAGACTTTGGTTTCGCAAAGAGGGTCGAGTTCAATAGTGAGGGTCTCGTTACAGCTTGCGGTACTCCCGGATACGTCGCACCGGAGATTCTCGAGGGCAAGTCGTACGGCAAGACGGTAGACATTTGGAGCATTGGCGTCATCACCTACATCTTGCTCTGTGGCTACCCTCCGTTTCACGACGACAACCACAATGCTCTGTTCAAGAAGATCAAGAAGGGCAAGTTCGAGTTCGATTCGCCGTACTGGGACCACGTCTCCGACGATGCCAAGGACCTTATCTTGGAGATGCTCGTCGTGGACCCAGAGAAACGGTACTGTTGCTTGCATGTTGCTTGTGTTGTGCAAATGGCAAGTGACGGTTGTAATCATGTTTGTGTGCAGGGCAACGGTGGATCAGCTGTTGGCACACCGCTGGGTCACGGGTACGGAGGTGGCGACTGTGCAGCTCACGAGCGCATTGGAGGAACTTCGCCGCTTCAACGCGCGCCGCAAGTTCAAGGCCGCCGTCAGCACAGTGTCTGCGACCGTCGGACTCAGCAAAAGGTACAGCAAGTCGTACAGCCAACCGCAGTCATTGCTGGATGCGTCCATTGGCGATGACCCTGTGGACGTGTCGGACGTCTCGCCAGACACAGTGGATCCAGACGACAGCGGCGAGACTGCACAATGGAAAACGTAGACTGACGCGAATGGTCGATCCTAGAGCTAGAGTCGGGTTTGGCTCTGTAGGTATTCTGGTTTAGTTCGGTTTGGGCCATTACACAATTATGCGTTTGCAGCGAAGCAGCTTTTCAGCGAGCGAGTTATGACGCAAGGAGTGTTTTACCCGAAAAGTCGGCCACAAATGCAGAAGTCTTAAAGTGGGAAAGACAAATGCTCGAGCGAAACCGCAATACAAGGACCGGGACCTACATTTGCCTCGCTAAACACACTCTTGTCAACTTTCCACCTGTGCTCGTTGCCCAATGTTACCAGTTGGGACCAAAGAGCGTCGGCAGTTGCCATATGAGGCGATGGATCCGGACTGGGAGGCGCGTGAACGCGACAACTTTCGCACTGCGACGGGTGGAGCTCAGCGACAGGCCCCATATGGCGCGTATCTGTTCGGGCGGTTGTTGCAGTCGGACTTGCACGAAAGCTGTCGACCGGCACTGCCCGCAAACGTGTCGACACTGAACAATGTCACTATCAAAGGCATGTGCATCTTACAGGTACCACCAGTCACCACTCAGTCGCTCGGGGTCACTCCAAATGGTCTGTCGGGCAGTGAGACTGAGAGACTAAGACGTTGTATGTGCAGGTGGTCGACGCCGCAAACATTGGCGCCAACTGCGAGCACCGGACGCAGGTTTCGACGGCGGGACCGACACGGACACTCAAACTGGGGCTCACAGACGGCCACCAACTGGTGTTTGGCTTTGAGTTCACTCCACTGCCACTCTTGAACGTCAACATTGTGCGTGGCACCAAAGTCGTGGTCGAGAATGTGCCCGTGAAGCACGGACTGCTGTTGCTGGCACCTGACAATTGTCAACTACTGGAAGCATCGGCAGATACTGCGACACGCAGCAAGAAGCAAAGGCAGCATCCAGCGGAGGCCAATGGAGCGGGTGCTGGAGCGTACTCGGCAGCTCTCGTGACTTCGCAACATGACACTGCACAAGTTCTCGCAAGTTTACCGGTAACAGTGAGTGGCGAACACGCATCTATAGTACGCTCAACTTCTTCTGCACGTCGTATGATCACGGACACAAGCAACGCGGGTACGAGCACCATTCAACGTGCCTCCGATCCGGCAGTGTTTGTGGATGTGCCTCCCTCGGACGAAGACATGGACAGTGACACGACCGATCCCATGGTATCACACCTTTTCTACAGCCCAAACACCCCGAGGCATTCCGTCGACTTTAATGATACAAAGGTGGCACAAGTCAGTAACGGAAACGCTTCCATCAAGAAACGGCCTCGTTCACCGTCACTGGAACCAAAACTACAGATCGGACCCTCAGTTCCGCAGCGCTCAGCACGGTCCGTGGAAGCAACGGCCGTCAAACTCGAACACCCCCCTACTGCGTCGCTGCAAGACCAAACAGCTTGCTTGCCTCTGGATCTAGCGCGTCCGTTTCAGTACTTTCACGCAAAGCGATTGACACTCTCTGCGCCGGCACTATCGGCTCGATTTCGAATTCGAGCATGCATCAAGTCTGTCGTCGGCTTCCAATTTAACACTGGACAGTACCAACTTCGAGTTGTCGTGGAAGACTGCACCGCCACGAATGAAGCAGACGTGGCTGAAGGGTTCGTCACGCAGCTCATGGGCGTACCGTGTTCGGAGTTTCAGCAAACTATGAAGACAAATGTGCAAGTTGCACACAAATGGGCAGCGGCAATGCAATTTGCGCTCATGAATCTTGAGGGAGTCATGACGTTTGAACACCGGGCAGCTGCACCCGCATCCGAGCCATTGCCACTCTTGCTTGTCGACTGCCGTGATTTTCAGACTTGTGAAACGCGAGAGCTACTGCAGCGAGTGAGACAAGTGCTGTCAAGTGCTGCACAGCCACAGAAGTGAGCACGCCGTCTCTTACTCAGGAGAGTTACTTAACCGCCAAACATTGCTTTGTACACTAGCGAGTCCGTCGATAGCATGTCTTCACATGCGAGCTGGAACGGTCTACGTGCAACTTCCGCTGGCTCTTGTTTGATCGAAATCGTACGCGGAACCCCAACGAGGACATCGTTTTTCGGGGTGGCAGTTGGTGGGTGCATGATGAACATGAACGTATCGTACTGCGCTTCCTCGGCGCACATGTTGCGATCACTTTCGAGGAGCGTTTTGCAGCGTCGGCGTCGGCGATTGGTGTCCATCTGCGCTACTGCAGTACTACTCGAATGTCCAAAGTCGGCAGCCTTCGCCAGTACTTCGTACTCGGTGCGAGAGAGCTCGGCAGCGAGGGTGGCAGAACGAGGGTACGCCAAGTTGCTCGATTTGATTTTACCGACGCAACACGGGGCCAGAACGTATGCAGCTCGCTCCTCTATACACTTCTCCATCACGATGTCAGTCGCCTCACCACAAGCGTGCAGCGCTATGCCCACATCGAAGTGCTCATGATATTCGTCGATAAGCCCGCAGAAAGTCTTCACGTTTGTCAACTGGGCAGCGGCAATGCGCTCCTTGGCTAAATCGAAAGTGCACATCAACACGACGCAAACGGGTTAGTATGCTTGCTTACTGCCACCATTCCAGCTCGTTTTTCCGCAGCACATACCGATAGCAAGTGAAGGCTCCTTCTTGTCCAGCAAAACAAACGTGCACTGTGGGTAGAGATGAGCGAGCGGCAACGCCACATATCCGGACCCGGCGCAGAACTCGACAACCTCATCGCCTGGTCTGGATCAGCAGCATCAGCAGCATCAGCCTCTGCTTGTAGCACACGTCGCACCGCATAGACTCACCGCAGCATGTGTTGCAAAAAGACGACCAAGTTATCCACTTGTTGTTGCTTGTTGCTTGCCCGCTGTGCTGGCAGTTTGCCATTCCGTGGATGCAGTCCGTCGGGCAGGTTGACCCAGGGTATACACGTCGCTGTCTCGCTGGGTGAGTCCCTTGACGTGTGCAAACACTTGAGCGGATTGCAGTGGTAGACGGCCTTCTCTCGGCCAAAGGACGTGCTTTCCACACGCTCGAGCAGCTCCTCAAACCAGAGCTGCGAGTTCTTGGGCGCACGCAGCGCCTTCTTCTGCAATCTGCGTCGACTTCGCTGCGCAATGGACTGAGGAACGCGATCGAGAGAGTCAGCAGCTGCAGATCCCATAGCGGTCGTGTTCGCGGGTGCCCATTCGGCGTCATCCCACGTGCCCCACGTCAGTGATGACAGTACGCTGTTCATCCTCTTGCGACGCAAAAGACTCGGCGCATGTCGGACGTAACGATTGGCTACCGGCGCAGCGTTTCTGGTTGACTGGGTGGGTCTGCTGTACCCACTCTGCAATGCAGTGGCTCATCATCTCTTGTGCAGGTTCAACTTGGCCTACAAAAAACCTCGTCACAAATCGAAGTGCATTGCTGACTTTTGGTTCATTAGTGTCGTGAAGAACACGACTGGCGCTCGTCAAAGGTCACGACGTCGTCTCTGTAGACGCACATCGATCTATCGGACACGTGTGCTGTACAAGTAACGACGCGCCCAGTCTTTTCATCCCCTTTTGCTTCACTAGGATCTAATGGATAGACAGTTTTGCTTCTTTTTCCTTTCTCGCTGCATCTGGTCATCGCCTGCGCACCAATGATTGGCTGTATCTGGCACTTTGTAGGCCTTTGAGCCTAACATTCTCAACAAGACACGGACAGACCTCAGTCGGTGCGAGATTTGTCAACCGACATCCAGCTGTCGTGACGTGGGGTTGTTGTGCTGCAAGGAGCGGCCGCACAAAAGAGTGACAACACGCTATGCTCGATGGTAAGTGCGAGGTCAGCCTCTGAGTTGCTCGTTGCGCGTGTCCGATTGGCCAGCGACTTGCCATGCTCTCCATCCATTGGCCGAAAGGCCGAAGCGCTGGGTCCACCAGCAGTGCGGGCGACGCGAGGTTTTTCGCCGTCGGAGCGACTACCGCGAGGTTTTCCAGCAAGAGCCGCGCTGGCCAGTAGTGCGTGCGAGTGGTCGGTCATTCCCTCATTTGCTCGCCGCCGACCTCTTCGTGTCCCTCGCCCCGCGCCGTCCGACCCTCTCCGTTGACAATGACCCAAGCGATCGACACGCCGTCGTCGGACCGCACGTTTCTGTTCACGTCCGAGTCGGTGAACGAAGGGCACCCGGACAAGCTGTGCGACCAGATTTCGGACGCGGTGCTGGACGCCTGTGTGGCGGACGACCCGAACTCGCGCGTGGCGTGCGAGACGTGCGCCAAGACGGGTATGGTCATGATCTTTGGCGAGATCAGTACGAAGGCCATTGTGAACTACGAGAAGGTCATCCGCGACACGATCAAGGGCATTGGCTACGACGATCCGGCCAAGGGACTCGACTACAAGACGGTGAACGTCATTGTGGCCATTGAGCAGCAGTCGCCGGACATTGCGCAGTCGGTGGACTCGGTCACGGACGAAGAGGTCGGGGCCGGGGACCAGGGCATCATGTTTGGCTACGCGACGAACGAGACGCCCGAGCTCATGCCGCTCTCGCACGTGCTGGCCACCAAGTTGGGCTCGAAGCTCACGGAGGTGCGCAAGAACGGCACGCTCGACTGGATCCGCCCGGACGGCAAGACGCAGGTGACGGTCGAGTACAAGAAGCAGGACGGCTGCATGGTGCCCCAGCGCGTGCACACGGTCGTCATCTCGACGCAGCACAATGACGACGTGACGAACGAGCAGATTGCGGCCGACCTCATGAAGCACGTGATCGAGACGGTCATTCCCGCCAAGTACTTGGACGACAAGACGGTGTACCACCTGAACCCGTCGGGACGCTTTGTGATTGGTGGTCCCCACGGCGACGCCGGCCTGACTGGTCGCAAGATTATCATTGACACGTACGGTGGATGGGGCGCTCACGGCGGTGGTGCGTTCTCGGGCAAGGACACGACAAAGGTCGACCGGTCAGCTGCCTATGCTGCTCGCTGGGTCGCCAAATCGGTCGTGGCCAAAGGGCTTGCGCACCGCCTGCTCGTGCAGCTGTCGTACGCGATTGGCGTGCCTTACCCGCTGTCGATTCACGTCGACTCGTACGGCACCGTGAAGAAAGGATTGACCGACGACGAGCTGGTGAAGATCATCGAAAAGAACTTTGACTTGCGTCCGGGTATGATCCAGAAGTCGCTTCAGCTGAAGCGCCCTGTGATGCAGAAGACTGCTGCATACGGCCACTTTGGACGCGAGGACGCGGACTTTACGTGGGAAACGGTGAAGGAGCTGGAGGTATAGAGTGCTGGGGGCGGATAGCGTGTAGATTGTCTGCTGCTTATTATTTGCCCAGCACTCGGCCGCTACGACAACAGTCTCACTCCACCGTCTGCTACTCAGAGAGGGAGAGCAGGGCGGAATCGGTGCTGTCGCGTCTGGTTGCTGCACTGTCTGCGTGGAAACGTGCACTGTTGACACTGACATCAACTGTCCATGCTCCTTGCGGGTTTGTGTAGCGCGCAGGAGCAGTTTACCCATTCCGCCATCTCACGTGTATGTCGGTAGGCGTTAGTAAAGCTAACGGCGAAATGAAGTAGGCGCTTACGTAGTAACTCGTTGAGTCGTGACGATGGATATGTACTTGTTTCGTCATACGGGAAGAGCAGGTATGCCTGTGTATGGTGCAGGTGTATTCGGGGGCCGCACCAACAATATAGTCGACACGCCGACGTCAGGTGAAAAGCGATTAAATGCCTTGAGCGGGGGGGGGGCGTACGCAAGTTTCGGTAAATGCGTCGATAAAGTACATCAGAACTCGACTCCGAGACTGCCGAGGTGACATTTGGTCAGCGAGTGTCGTGGCATCAACGACAAAACTCCAAGCAACGACGATACTCGTAAGTTTCGGGACGTTTCCTCGACTCTCGAAGTGTTTGACCGCAGAAAAGCCGATGCTCATGCCCTCATGAACAGGTGGCAACTCAACAGGTCAGACCATCCTCTATAAAAAGCAGGGAACTCGTACAGCGTAATCGAACGCGCAGATATTGTCGAGCTGCTTGGACTGAGGTAACGTGTTAAGCCGATATGTCGGGCTGTTCGAATGACACTACGTAATGTGCCAATTTGGAAGGTCAAAACAAGGGGAGTTTCACCAGGATGACGTAGTCTAGCACCAATAACAAAGTGTGCAATTGTATAGCAAACTTTGTAAAGCAACCTTCCTACGTATGCGGAGCGTCGAAAGATTGGATAAATGAAGAAAAAAAGGATGGGTAGAGAGAGGGATAGAGATTCTGTCTAGTTGTCGTTGTTACTCTTTGTAAGATGTCGATGCTTTCTAATGCCGCATTCGTGACGCTAGTGTCTTTGCTCTCGAAGAACAGTCGGACCATGCGGATATATAAGATCGTGCGTGATGCATGCCCTGCAGAGCGTTCAACACATTTGGTACAATCCCTATTTGCAATCTTACACATCGTTCGCAAACGCTTGTTGTAGCCGTTTGGTATCCGTTGCTACCCCGTTGTGGTAGTGCTCTGACCAGACTATGTTCTACGTGATCAATCATGGGGGTGGAGTATGAATTCTGGCCTTAGCCAGTTCGTACCAGAGCCGGCTAGCACCTCCGCTCACATGGGAATTCGTATAATATGGATGAGAGTCTCTATATGACCCCACGCATATTCTACCTTTTGTAACTGGAATGCTTCCCACCGCCTTAACAATGCTAAGAGCGATTTACTAGAAGTTTTCTAGACAAGGAAAGCTCACGTTATCGTCTAACGGCGTGGTCTCGAACGAAGAGACTGAAAATGACCTGCAGCTCTAAGTATTGTGCGACCTGTCACTTGATTGATGGATTGAGATTGATGGGGTCGGCAAGAGTCGAGACGATTAAAGGGATTTCCGTAAAACGTTCCTCTTCGTGCTACAAGCACGTTGATTGCATAAAATGAATGAAAGCTTAACAACGAAGACCACTTTGGAATTTGCCACGCACAAACAACTTGTTCCTCCTCTCTTTTCGTTAGTAACACCCTGTGCTTCGCTAGGGTTGCTACCTACAGAGCGCTAAAGGTGTTAAATGCAAGCTACGACTGTGCAAAGCGAAAGCCGACTCATACTTTTGTGATTGCTTTGGAAAGGCTCCACGCTTGGTGAAAAGGTTCCTGTACGCCGCGCCTCGTAGCTCGCCTTGTTCCGCGTATTTGGTAAAATAAAGTCACTATTGGATCGTTACAGTCTTTCTTAGCTCCACTTTTGCTCGCCAATCAAGATACTATTTTGTGCTTGGACCACATATATGCTCGAGATTGTGTCCGAAAACGCTCCATAAAATACACGGACTTATTAAGACAATCCATTGGAAGCACCTGCGCCTTTTCCTTCGTGCTTGTCAAAGTATCTTGTCCACGACTAGTGGTGTTAATTTATGTCAATATGTTGTCTTCTTCTTGTTTAGAGACAGCACTAAGTGGAATGAAGACCCGGTGTCGGTTTGATAAAGACCCACAAGCCACTTTTGGTGATACCATGTAACACAAGTACGAATGCCGTGAAGCTAGTGAATATCTCAAAGCCGCATTCTCCTATCAAATGAGAATTATTTTGCGATGTATAAGGCCAGACAGTTCATATGATTTTTATGGCATAAATACTGTCATATTTTAGCGGATGCGTGTCGTCGTATGTGGAGCTATGCTGTAATGATGATACATTTCAGGTGGTACATCAATGGGCTAGGTACGTGAACTCTGTAATGTATCACTCATCTAAATCCGTCTAGCTTTAGCCACCAATGGTGCATTTTGCGATTTCCTCTAGTAAAGGTTGAGAGGTACCATCTAATTGTATACGCAAAATTTTATCAGGTGGTAAAAAACGTAAATACATAGCCCGTTCGCAGTTTTATTGACATAAGACGCGTGCCTTGTACGGCGTCTTCGTCACTAGGGTAAATAGGGTTTCGAAGCTTATACCTTTTAGCACTTGGTGCAATTGGTTATTGAATCTCTTGAGTGTTTTGTACTAGGACTAGAATCTCAGTGAGCGATCTAGACTCGTTATGTCGTGTTCTAGCATAAAAGTAGCTCGTTGAGCAGAAATACTTCCTCTGGCGAAGGAGCTGTTAGTGCCCCGCTACACTGGGTACAACTTGTAGTCAATCTACGCCTGAGTCTGAAACAAATTATCTCGTGCGAGGATGTCAAAAGCGATTTCAATTACCCTATCTGATGCCCAAAAGATCGCGTTTACCATGATAAC